TCACTGTGAGTTGGGAGCAGTTTACAAAAAGCATTAGCTTTTACTTACCTTTCTTTCCTTCACTTCTCCTTTTGCATGCAGCACCTTTTTTAACATCATCATCTAGTCTCATGGAATGCTTGAGTGGGAAGTCCTCTAAATTATGCAAGAAATGTGACACTGCCATCATTACAGGGAACCACTGCTGTACAAAACCTCTTGGTAAATGTTTTCTGGGAATCTAAGCACATTAAGGTCAAGGCAATTTCAAACTCAAGCAAAGGTGGATGCTCAGTTGAAGAAACCAGTTAAGGTTAACTGCCACTAAAAATTAGAGACCATTACGTTGGTTTTGTCTAAATCTAAACTTGTAGCAGCTACCTAGTGGTCTCTCACACCATCCAGAAAGAACAAAACTGATTGTAATTTCTCAGAGTAGAGAGAGTATCATGTTATTTTCTTGCTACTTATCCAACCGCAGCCTCACGTGTTGTGAGCAAAAAAAGCACGTTAGAACACAAGAGTAGACTGCAAGAGAGATCTGTACATTTTGTTTTATTCTGACATACTAAAATCTAAAACTGCTTTTTGCTTACTTAACCGCCCTTTAAAACTTGAAGATGATATTCAGTTCTCAACTTGCCAGAGCCCGAAGGTGAGATACAAATTTAGAGACATGAAAAATAGTTACTTTTGCCATGCCATTTACTGTCTCTGAATCTCCCCTTAAAAAGGTTGGGACTTCAGCTCATTAAAAATCATAAGGCGGTCTCAAATTGTGCAGTGAAAAAAAATGTACAAGTACCTTAACAGGCACAGTCTAGTATTCTCAACTCACCCAAGAGGATTTGCAGTTGAATTGATCCCCGACTGGCTTTAGAACCAAAATGAAGCTAGAATTAATGAGATACAAGTTTTGGACAGGTTGAAGTTTCAAATGTAGTTGGATTGTTTCTGTGATATACCTGCTATATTTTTATAGGTAGTCCACAGTGTTTAAATTGTTTTTTCCTGCATGGAACCATTAAAAATATCTAATTACTTCCTACTAGAATGTTATACACTAAATCATGTTTGTTCTATTTTAAAGAGGACAACTGTGGGAAGGATGGGAGGGCTAATCTCCCCCAACCGCTGCACCTCCATGAGGATACAAACTGGCCAGAACTTGAATTCATGTACAGACTAAATGAAAATGTTGTATGACTTCAGAAAGGATTATGTTAGCCTGGAGGACTGGATAAACTTTGAGGCTGAAATAGCTAGAATGTTTGCACTGGTGAGTGAATTAAATAGATGCAGTGAAATTACGGGAAACGCTGTCAGAAATACAGGTCTCTCAAATCCACTGTTGTACCTGCTTTTTGCTTTGGATTATACCTCACCTGCTTCACAAGGCATTTTACTTCAAGAAGACACCACTAATGCTGATCCAGGAATTGACAGAAGAGGAAATACAGCCGCATCCCAAAGAGGATTGCCATCCCCGGGGGCAAAGTGTACACAAAGACAGCGGAAGTAAACTTACTTAAAGCATTTTTCAGTTCAACTATATCTTCAGTTGTCATGAGAAAAACTTCAAAGCCAAGTGTAACTCTAAAGCAAGATTTAGAAAACATGGACGCTTTTGCTTCTAACGGGGTAAAGGTAATGGTGGGAAAGAACTTCTAAGAGATTTAGGAACTGAAGCGAACAGCATTGAGTATTCTCAACACCATCATATTTCTGAAACTTCCTCTGAGGATACGTTTTAGTTCTATGTCTACTTGTCCATCCTATTGAGACCTCTAGGAAAATTAGAGAAAATCTTGACTAACAGGACGCCAGATTTTTGGAGGGGTTGTGTAAATATTGATCAATATACTGTTCAAAAATAAATTCCTTCAGGTTGTGAAGAATTTTGTTAATAAAAAGAGTGGAATGCCCACACACCATTTCTCAAAATGTTACTTAATGTTGCATAGTACATTTCAGAATCTATCCATTTTTACAAGTACTGAAAAATTTCAGTAAATGTACATCTTAAATTTTAATGAAATCAGATTTGTATGAAGTTTTTTTATGTGGTAATATTATATTGTATGTTCAAAACCAAAACAATTCCTTTGAGAAAGCAGCACTTGCTTAGTAGTGTAACTTTTACATTTATTTTAAAAAAAGGCAAGAAGTTCAATACTTTTAGCCAATAAAGAATAATCTAGTTATAGTTTAGTCTACGCAAAAGTAGATGTTCCGAACGACAGTTACTGTTTAAAGGCTTTTAAAGGGAAAAAAACGTCATTTTACTAAGAAAGCACAGTGTACAGAGTCTATTTGAGTATTTTCATAAAGACGTTATTAAATACATTGTAGTACAGGCACTAGCAGTGATATTTGTACTCATAATTTTTTCATGTTAATCTGCTACCTGTTTTAAAGGCACATGCAGGAAGGAGCTCATGTGACAGACTGACTCAACCAACTGTGGCCTTCACTCTTAACAAGAGGTACTTCTTTTCAAAACACAAACCTAACTTGCACTTCTAGAAACACAGTGTAAAAATACGTCATGGAAATTATTTTGATACCCTTCCTGGTTTTGCACATTAGGAAATTCAAGTGGAATTACTTCACAAGTGATACAGATCTCTGGTACCACACCCCCATACTCAAAAAATATACCTGAATTTAAGAACCAAGGAAAAAAAAAAAAACACTCAAAAAGTGGCAGTGGGGTTGTTCATTGTATGTGCTATGTAGTAAAACAAGGCTTGAGCTTGTATTTTTATCACACGTGAGTCAAATACACTTCCCAAAATTTTCTTGTGAGTTTTTTTAATTATGGAAGTAATATATGATTGTCTGTCTTAATCTAGTCATAGATTTTGTTTATAACCTGTTACAGATTTCATGGACTATCAGAAACATCTGCTAGATGATGAGATCCTGGATCAATACAAATAAGTAAAAAATACTGAATTTAAACTCACCAATAGAAACACATTTTTTGCTGCTTTCCAGAGAAAAGTGTTAGCTGTCTGCCATTCCCAGTGAGTATGCAGAAAGAATACTAGGTTAGATTAAAAAAAATTTGCACTTACCCTTTTTTTGTGTTCAGCCTATTATAGTCTTTGACAAGATGAGAGTGTGACTGTCAAAATCCTGCATGGCCAGTGCTACTGCTCCTGTTACATACCAGTCGGAAGCTTGAAAAGATACCATGTCCCTTTATACAAAATATTGAGCTGTGGGACTTGTATGTGACACAAGAAGCAGCTGTTATTTTATGAAAGGTAGGTCGTTGCCAAGTTATGGGGAAAGCTACCACCTCTTCTCCTTTCAGCTCTGCTAAAGACTGCTATTTTAAGTTTAAAAAGATCTAAATGCCACTTGATGTTAATGCAACTTTAGTTGATAAATGGGTCTCATAGGTGGAAGGTCTAAGTTGTTACTCCCTTAGCTTGTATGGCCAACTAAGGAAAAAATTTAAATCAGTTGCTAGACATAGCTTTCCTCAATAATAGCACTGGATTTTTCTCTGACCTTTCCAGGATACAGTTGTCAGCCTTAAGGTATTAGACAGCTAATACACTGTGTCACCAAGTTCTGATTTTAAATAGAAACCTTTATTTACATTATTATTAACATCCAAACACAAAAATCAGAAGAGCAGTAATACCTTACAACCAACTCTTTTATAAATCAGTCCCCATGATTTTTCTGTTTTGCAAAATAAAGATACAGATATTTCAAGCAATACTTACAATGTAAACTAAACTTAAATGCAGTTCTCAATACTGTTTGCCTTCTCCTGAGAATTTTTTAAAATATTGCTCTCAGAATTACATGGTTTCATACTTGCTGTATCATTCTGTCATCTGGTAGTCTGCACATAAATTCTAAAATAAAATGTGTGCTAATTGGTACAACATTCAAATAGTTTTTGTCTTATGACTGAAAAATGGTCCTGTTTTTCTAATTTTAAAAGCAGTATTTTAGGCCAAGATTGGAAAAAAATACTACATGTGAATTTTATAAAAACATGGTTTCTGTGATCAAAAGAGCAAGAGACATGTAGCAAAACGACGCTCATTATGCAGCAGTGATCAGAGGTGGTTATACTAGCTAATTTTTCTCTTACTGTTGAAAAATGTTACACAGTGTTTTTACAAACATTCAGAAAAATCTGCTGCTATAGAATCAAAACAGAATTGGTGGAGATATTAAATGTCAACAAATTTCAAGATCAGTTTTATTTACTGCAGTAGGTCAGATTTTCAGACTGGATGTAGTATTTATGATCAGTGCTGCCAAGAAAGATGTCATCAATGCATTTTAAAAATGCCCCCCCTCCCCCCCTTAATCAAGTGTAAACTAAAAATCTTTGGATTCAGCAAAAAAGTAGGTACTGGAAAGCTCCAACATTCTAAACACGGATGAGAAAATGATGATCCTTTATAACATCAGTCAGGTACCAGTTATACATAGATGTATAAATAGAATCACTCATTTAAAAAAATTAAAAGGGCACAATGTATAAAGTAGTATATAGTCTAAGAGCTCACCTAATGAAAGCAATCAGGGTTTGTAGTTTCCATCAATATAATGAACAACTACAAAATATAAAGATTGTTCTACTCTGATTTGATATAAAAAGCAAGGGATTGTTGCCTTTCAACTTCAGTAGGCACCACTTACTCAACAAATAGATATGTTCTAAGAAATAAAAGAGAAGATAAAAGTTCCTTAGGCTTTTAAAAGTTTTGCATTAAAAAACACACATGAATTGGACTGAAGGTTTCAAATAAATACTACCACTATATACTCAGTATTAACTGCAGAGACAGGATTGCATAAAGTAGATTGATTGAATCTACATTCCCTTTGGAACACAACTGGCTGTATGCTAAGGATGAACTTTTGGAGAATATTTCTAGTTATTTCTATTAAAATGGAAGATCACTGAATATTCTGAACAAAAAAAACAGCTCTTGCTTACAGTACCAAGAAGAAGCAATCAAGAACACAGATTTTTTTTTTTTTTTTTTTTTTTTTATCCACTTGGAGAAGTCAGTTTTCCATTACACAGTGAACAACAGAACAAAAGCACCACACATCTTAAGCATTCCTGGGTCATCCCTTATGGAAGTTTAGAGGTTTGACTCATTGTAACTGCCTGAAACTGGAAAAACTGCAAAGGGCTTTTCATTTCAAGGAACCAGGAGGGGGGGTGTGGGGAACCAACAACTCTATCAGCAAATAATATGAATGAATTTGTAACCAGACTTAAATACTGATATGAGAGAAACCTGCTTAGAAAATACATTCATTTCTATTAGAACAATCCAATGAGGTGCAGACATTTGGTTAAAGTGTGGCTTAATATCCTTAAAGGTTTCTGGATGTCATGTAACAACAAATATTTTGCAACAGACAAACTTTTTTGAAGAACATTTAGAATTCATTAAAACTGACCAAAAAAGACACAATCCAGATTCATCAACTGAAAAGGCATCATATTATAGAAAGACATGACCATCATGACAAGTCATAACATCTTACAATGCAGAGCCTTTTTGTCAAATTGCCTTATGTAAAAAGAAATGTAACAAAGTGCTCACAGGTGGAGAAAGCATTTAACAACTGGTCTTTTATAAAAAGCTATATGTTAAAGATGTAAAAATAAAGGATGTGTTGAAGACCAAAGAAGAGAAAGATGTGGGCCAAAGTCACCCAGCTTCAAAGTCATTAAAGTTAATTAAAAAAAAAAAAAAAAATTCTATTTGGACCTCAACTACACTGAGTTTACAGAAATCAATTTTGTTAAATATTTAGCTTCACAAACTCTGCAAAAATGAGTTAGTGACCTACAAAAGTCATATATATAATACATTATCTTAAAGATCATATTTACAAAATTTATTCACAAAAAGACTGCAAAATTCTGATTCAGACTGCAGTGCCTTGCCTTGAGTTTTCTGAAGTTATTTTCAAAAAGGTGAAAGATTATTGCTCTAATTTCCATACACAGAAAACATTACATTATGCAGTCTTTTCAAATAATTCTTAAGAGATTGTGTTTGAGAAGGAACATGAGTACACCCTACCTTCATATTAAGTCTTTATCAAAGATATTGCATTAATCCATTATACAGTCTTTTATAAAGTGCACTCAGCTGCACATCAATATGTAAATATTAGTCACAATTGTGTTTAAATAATTTAAATTTATTATCCTCTCTTTTTACCCCTTGGCTTCAATGGACAGGATTTTGGACTAGTATGTGCCAATTCATTTTGCACTGCTACTTTGCTTGGGAAATCCTGACTCTGGGGGTAAGAGATTAAAAGCAGCATTTATATTCAGGAATTAATATAAAAGAGTCAAGGCTAGGAACTACATTCTCTGTCAGATATTGTTACTAGAGAAATCAGAAAATTCTTACCACCATGACTTCTCCAGGCACTTTTGTCTGCCTGTAGTTCAAGGGCTTTGGATAGCTACAGTAAAAAGATAAGGTATACCAGGAGTCTACCCATCATATCTACTAAAATGCCATTGCCAAATTCACATTTCTAGAGGCAGAGCGCCAAAAATATTTATGGCCTTTTCTGTACACCACAATATACAGTAATACAGAGACTGCTTCTGCTAAAATGTATTTTTGTTTGTTGTGGGGTTTTGTTTGTTTGTTCTTTTTTTTCCTCTGAATGAAGTAACGTAGGACAGTATGGTGATTAACAGGAAAAATCAGTTCTTTCCATAAGGCCAGTACTAGTTGCCATGAAGAATGCGTAGCTTTCCTTTATAATACTAGTGCACCATTAATACAGCACATTCTTGTCTGAAGATGTGGTTGAAGGCATCAGCAGTATTTCTGTTAAAGAAAAGCAGAAACAATCATCAGAGAAAATAAAAAATACCGTTGCTGAAAAAAGTGGTCAACATACTGCATTTTGAAGAGGTAAGTACTGACAGTCAGTTTCTCAATTTCTAAGCAGAAGAATAGCATTTTAGTGCTCTGCTTTGAAGATAAATTTGTAGAAAAGAAATGCTGTCCCAGAATTTCCTAAACACGTTATTTGGGTATCTTCACTGTATGATGTGTGGGTTTGGAAAATCGGACATTTGACCTTCATTTTCCTGTCTTTATAAAAGGTACTTGTTATATGAAGGTCCTTCGGTACCTTACTTTATGCCCCAGAAGTCCTCAGATTATTTTGACTGCTTCCTTAGGTACCTTAAACAAAATTTCGTTAGGTACTTTCTACTTGAATAAATTTAGCTTATCTCAATATTACATTGCCCATCCCTTGGTGTTTTATGGAAAGATTACAGCAAAAATACATTTAGTATTTCAGCCTTCTGTGCAGTGCCTGTTATTAGCTCACTCTTCCCTTAAATAAGGGGCCTAATTTTCCATAGTTTCTTGCTACGCATACACAAACTATTCTAAAGTACTGTAATGGTAAGTATCAGCAGCAGCTTCTGCCAGAAGGATACTGTGCTACCAGGATTCTTGGTCCGACTCATGAGAGCTACTATATATAATCTTTCACGACTGCTGAAAATGTTTTTCACAATCTCCATGTTTTGCTCTCTGGGGTTTCTCAAGGCTCGGAAGTATTTAAGCATCCTTTGTGCAGTTTAAGCCTTGATCCTACCTACGATACTTCAAAGTCAACAGCTAATCACAGCATACGGCTTGGGTTCATCATGGATTTAAGTATCATCAAAACTAACGTATCTCTTGGGACATGCAAATGGTACGTCCACAGATGTAAATACAAACAAAACAGGATAACTGAGAACAGGATTGTGCCAGAAGAATGGCTTGAAGCAAATTGCACTCAATGGGAAAAGTGTCAACAGATCTTTTCATCAATCTTTATGTACAACTTACCTGGTCTGGACCCATAGGCATCCCTGACATAGGCATTGTATTAATATTCATCTGTCCAATATGGCCACTGCTGCCATTCATGTGCATCATACTGTATGCTGCTGGATTACCTTGATGGCTGAACTGCTGCTGTGGGAAAGAACTGAAGCACAAAAGGACAAATAAAATTACCTTCCAAGGAGTTTACACATTCATATATTGCCTTCTCTGCACCAGCTGTCAACACATTAAAGAGAAGAACTACATAGTCACCAGAAGCATAAAACTATTTTTACATTTATTTGTTTCTACCTAATATCTGTTAAATGTAGAAACAGAAATTTCCCTCCCAAAAGGAATTTTGAATTTATAGATACACACAGAACTATGCGTATGCATTTCCTGTTGTCCTTTTTGGAGGCTTCTGTTAGGGCTGTACATTTTAATACTATTCTGAATTTTTGTATTTCCCCCCAGGTTATTTTTTTCAATATTCAAAGACTGAATGTTGCTTCCAGTTACAAAGATTGCAGAGGTCCAATATGAATGAACGGAGCTAAGCGTAAGATACATTTAATCAGTCTATTTCCTAAACCAGAGCAGGATCAAGGACAATACAGACACTAGAGATATAATTATTTTTCCCTCTTCTAAATCCGCCTGCTACAAGCTATTTAACATAGCTTCTGCTTTTAACAAAATGAAAGACAATTTTTGAGCTACAGATTATAACTGAGAAGTTCACCTGCTCCTGGCCATGCTTCCCGACGGCCAGCCCTTCATCTCAGGGGACTGGTACATTGTTGCTGTCTGAGGATGCTGCATCATAGGATTCTGCGAGGGTCCAATTCTTGATGACATCATTGGGTTGGGAGGGCTTGACACTCTGCTAAATGCAGGATCAGCTTGTTGGCTTATTCCTTAAAAGACAAAGGACAGACAATATACTTCACTTATCATCACCTAGCACTTTTAGTTTATCTTCTTGCAATGATGGGAAGGGAAAAAGTCATCCTTTTTTCTAGCAGTATTTTTCAGAATGATTGGTATTTAGGTAGTTTGGTTTAATAATAAATGAAGAAAGGGAAAAGAACACCAGACAGACCAAAAAAAAAAAGTTAGTACTAGTACCATAATTAGGTGGATAGGGAAATTGCTGTGGAGGAACTTGAGCCATTGGAGGGCCTGTCAAAGCACTATCCATGCTTCCTGAGGCAGTCACATTTGGTGGTGGACTGAAGGCCTGAGGTTGCTGTTGCTGCTGCATCATCATTGCCATCCTCTGTTGTCTAAAATGATGACTTATTAGCTCCCTGTTACGCTGAGCCACCATTTGAGCATTAAGAAAACCTTGCTGCTATCCCCCAAGGAAAAGAAAAATCATATTAGAAAACATTTTTCCAAATGAAATCATATCAATCAAACCACCTACACTCTTTAAGACCCAGCATATCCATTACCAGAACAGAAAATTAAGAAAACCCACAGCCAGTACAAAAATCGTCAAAATATCAGACAAAGGTTTTCATTAAGTTGTCATTAGTGCTAAACAAATGATAAAGTAGATTATCTATCATATCCTACATGGGAAAGACTATTGGCACACTGTATTGATAGCATGACCTAATGAACAGATCCCTCTGAAATCTTACTTATAAGAGAGGTAAAAAACCCACATATTTTAATTGTACAGGGGAAGAAACAAGACAAAAAGGAATGCTGTGGAACCATGAAAGAAGGTCCAAATTCTGAACAAATGTGTAAAAGATGTGTCTATTTAGAAATTACTGTTTCAGATGGCTAGTGTAATAATTACTTACCTGTGATCCCACCTGTGGCTGCATAACTGGTCTCATCACTGAGGTGTTACCACTGACTGGATTTTCCATTTTCATTTCAAGCGCTTGACGGGTCTGATTCATAAACTTGGAAAAAGACATTTTAGCACTATTAGCTTGAAAATACCAGTATCTGAACAAAGTAATGGCAACTCCTCCAAAAAACATTCCTTACAAACCTCCTGAATCCATAAAGTGCAATGGGTTTCATGTACCTGAAAGTACCAAACTATTTGGTTAAGCAGCTTGAACAAACACAAAAAGAAAAACCCTCCAAACAATGTAATGCTAACTGGCCTTTTTTTTTTTTTTTTTTTAAACCTTCCCTCGAAATTAGCGCTTCTTAAGAATAAATATATAGCAGACTACATGTTTGTTCCAAATCATGTTTGGGCAGAAGAGTATAACCATTAGCTTTGCTTAAAATGATAAAATTCTGTCTCCTTCCTTCTTCATCACAAAACCCCAAAGGCATACAGAACAACCAAGAGAGAACACAGTATTTCCTAAGGATTAAACTTCGCCATTCCATGTCACACAGCACTATCTCAGTTTTGTGAGTTTTATTTGTACATTGTATTTGATATCAGGACTGCATTTTCACATGGGGAATTCAAAGCTGAAATCATGCAGCAATTCGTTAAGCAGTGCTTTCAACCCAGTGTCAAGATCTACATGGCTGTTATTTACTCTCTCACATTTCATCCTAAGAAAATACCTCAAATGACATCAAATCAATAAATGGAAAGCAAACCCGTATTTCAGTAAGCCCAAATGGTTAGTTAGAAAACACAATCAAAAAGAAGTAACATTTGATTTTCAGGAGAAATGCAGCTGCCCATTTAATGGTATCAGTGAGATTCAGAAAAAATACTAGATCTTAACAGGGATAAAGAGATCGTCCAGAGCTACATAGTAGAAGAGTACTGTTTTAAGTAGCAATAATGTTGTGTGCTGCAGGAACCAATCCAATCTGTAGCTAAGGAGGCTGATGAAAGAGAAACACTTGTCCTAATAAAGGTTGTTTCACTCCTACAGCCATTAAGTTCTCAGTGTGAAAAGCACTGCCAAAACAAAAGACCCGTCCTTTCAAACATCTGCTGTATGTCCATTTTCATATTCGTGAAGCAACACAATTCAGTGTGCACCTTATTCCATTCCAAAATAAGAAGAAAGTGTAAACACAGGAGCAAAAGATTACCTGCTGCCCCTGAAGCCTCTGCTGGAGCTGCATGCGGAGCTGCTTTGGTGTATTGGTTCGAGGTCTCATCACATTTGCTCTAGGATGCATACTTTGAAGTGGAAAATTGCTCTGTTGGCTCATCTGATTCATCACTGAATTAAAGGATGGCTGTTGTCCCTGAATGTTACTAAAACCTCCTGGCATTGCTGCCCCTTGCCCTTGATAGGGCTGACCATATAACGAAGGCTTCTGGTCAATCATAACGGAAGATTCCTGACCTTGAAATGAGTCTTGTTTGGGTTCCAAAGCTTGTCCCTTCAACAGATACAAAAGTGTTTTCACTAGCAGTATATTCTTTAAGTAGGCATTCCTAAAGAAACAATAAAGCTAACACAGCATACAACAACCAATAGTTTCTTGGGTAGAACATAGCATGGACAGATTACTATTAGTTTGGTCTCCAGACAAATGAAACAGCAAAAGTTACTATTAATAATTTTTTTTAAAAATCACTTCTGCTGCACACTGCTTACACAGGCAGACCAGTATCTTTATTCAAGCCCTTCCACGCTTTTGAACTGCTATTTGTACAAATGATAGTGTGATTTTGTGGTTTTTAGCAAGTTCCACATTATTCATAGATTTTCCTATTCACGAGCATGCAAACTCAGCCCAGAACTGGAGGAGACGGAAATGTCCTACTCACTAACACGTCACTGCCAGCCAAATATTTCACAAGCCAGGCTCAGCTGACAATAGTTATACTAAAGAAACCCACCACAATTCTCTGCTTATAGAATTATAATGATTTACACCCAACACTCCCTCCTCCCCATATACCAAGGCATATTACAATACACTTAGATAAGAAGATGCCATTTTATATTTTTGCAATGCACAAGAACTTTAATCAATACTGAGCTTCTCCAATGAAAATCACTGCTCGCTGTAGATGCTTCCAAAGGCAGATGTAGGAAAATGAAGACAAGGAATTGAGGAGACACAGTGAGTGAGGAGGCCCTCTTCACTTTCTTTTCAAGTAACAAAATAATACAGGTTTTTGGAAAATAAATGGCCAAAATCTCTGTTTACTTACTTGGTTTACAAGATCAGGAATTCCTAATGCTCTGTCAATTTCTTCCAGACCTGTGACATCTGTATTACTCAGCAGTGTGTGCAGCTGATCCAAAAGTGCCCTTTCATCATTCTGGCCTTCCATATTTGGTGCCGGACATAAGAGGTCATCCAAAGAGTTTCTAACTAATTGTCTATAAATATAAAAACATTACAACAACTATGGACTATGAAGGCATATACATAGTTTTTATATAATATATTGACCTGGAGATGATTAGGTACAATAATCACCTAGAAGACTGAAGTAGTTAAGTTCTTAAGTCCCAAATTTAGGTCCTAAAATGTCCAGTCAACTGCCGTTTATCCTTAAACACACATAAATTCTGTTTTCTCCTGGTTTCTGCATGTGCCACAGAGACATGATTTCAGATTTTCCCACCTCTTTTCTCTATGCCTCCCAGCTCAAGGATTGATTTTGTTTGCAATGGCTTTTGTGGAGCTGGGTTAAAAGACAGCCAGTGTCATACCGTGAGAAAACAGCAGCAGAAATGGAAATAGATTTTGACTCCAATCTGTTATCCCCACTGTATATGCTACATTAATTTTTTTCCAGGTCTTAAATTCTTCTGACAAACAGTGAACAGTTGTATTTAAACTTATCTTAAAACCTTCCCCAATTCTACCTGTTTTGTGAACCCCGCGATGCTTGCTCCATGGGTAGCATGTTGTCAGGCCACGATCCTGGTTGATTAGATGGTCCTGGCTGTCCATACGGATTCCCCCCCATGCCAATGTTTATCTCATTTGGCCCTGCGAGGTAAAACATTTGTGTGTTTTTTTTAAAAACAAAAGATGTCATCTTGCTCTCCCAGTGTTCACATAAAGCATTGTGGATGATCACACAAATTGTCAAGCAGCTTCACGAGCTTTCCATTAGCATGTTTTAAAGTGTACACGTACATAAACTCACACTCAAGATAATTTCAGAAATATAACAGACCACAGATTTAAATGAGAGTGATCTAAAGCCGCTACCCTCTTAGAGCAGAATTGCTATTTCTAATCCTTAAGCCCCTAAAATAGGAACTTGACAGATACAGCAACTTTACATCCAAAACAAGGGAGTTTTCTGGCCAATGAAATCTGGGTACTAGCAATACACATTGTCATAGTGATATCAACAACATTTGGCATTTTAAATTCCAAAACAGGTGAAAATCAAAAGATACAGAAGGTACATACTAGCGTTTTGCTCTTTGGGAGTATGGCCTTCCTTCTACCTATTCAGAGACATACAGCACTACATAGGAGAGTTTGTGTCATCCCATTATTTCCCACTATTTGTAGGAATCACCTAGCAATAATGATTTCTAGGAAGCTAAGCTGAGGAATTCTCAGTCAGGACTGCACAAATTTCTTCCTGATTTAGCCTTATATCCACATGCCACATTGAAACAGTAAGTCTGTCAAAGAGAACTGGTAACAGCCCCGGTAGCCTTCCATGATAAAAAAGGAATGCCACTGTCTCTTTCGGCCCTTTCTGGGCATGCCAGCATTGGCACATTAGACAGGACAATTTCAGCTCTAGGCTAAACCTTTGTTAGAGATATAGAACAGAAAAAACCCACAGGCTTTAACACTTTCTTCATATTTTAGATATGCAGGTTATTTTCTCCCATGCAAACATGAATACTTAAAAGAGAACCTGTATTTGCAACGTGGTTTTATATGAAATTTGGATACTCCATGTGAGAAGAATTTTGAAATACTTAACAAAAAGCTTCAAAAAACCCTTATTACCAAGAAGTTAACAGCAAAAAAAACCCATCTATGTCAAGTACCATGAATTAAATTAATCAGAATACTAATATCTTCAAATATAATCACAGATGGCATTTAGTTCCTGGAATTTAGCAGAGAAGTACTGCACTAAAGAAATACACAGAAATTATCCCCCAAAACTCTGGAGACTCAGTATGAATTATCTGTGTATGAAACACACAGATATCACCAGAAGAAAACAAAAAGAGCACCAAAAATTCATCAAATGTCCCAGTCAGGGAACAATAACAGTCTTTACCTCAAAAAGCTTTTGGATGAAAAGCTAGTATTCTACCAAAACTGAAAAGATCCTGATGATGAATGCTCACAAAGAAACTAGTGAGATTGTGCTAAGTAGGACAATAAAAAGTAAAGAACTTACTCATGTGCATCATTTGCTGTTGTAGCATTGGTCTTGTACCAGGTATGCTATTAGAGCGAACAGGCAGCCCAGACATAGAGCCACCCACGGTGGGTCTGGGAAGGGACGCACTAAACTCAGGTCCTGCTCTCAACATTGAAGCAGAACTTGGAGGTTCCAATCTATTCACCTTCGAGTTTGGCAAACCCCAGTCTCCTGACTGATGCTGATTCATCGCAACATTTCTGTTGGGAGCACTTGCTATGATGAAGAGCAGAAAATACAATAATTTTTCATTTAGAATACATCACATATTTTGGTTTTAGAATTATTCTTATGGGGTTTGGTTTGGTTTTACCAACAAGGACACCTGCCAAAGACAGAGCAATTCACTGAACTCCTCCAAAAGCATCTAAAGCTTACTATGCCAAGCTCTAAATCATCAAACAACTATATTAATCTAAATATATTTTAAAATATTAACAACTGACTGCCATCATGACCTCTTCTTGCTTCTGTATATCAAAAACATATGTTAAATTCAAAACTTGAAACAGTAAAAAATAACTCAATTACTAAACAAAAGTAAAGCACTGGTAATAATACACAGACAGTAAACAGTTATGTTCTAGTAATTTTAGCTAGGGATAATAATTTAAAAGTATTTATATGCTGATGGTAAAACTAATATTCATTAATGTTAAGGTTTCATCTAAACAAAATTCATACTATAAGCTTGCAACCTTTTTTACATAAAATCTTTTTCTTTTACAGTGAGATCTATTTGTACACAATCAACAAACCCAGATTTGCTCCAAAATTTTCCTGGTTTTCAAGCATTCTTGGACTTCCACCCATTAAGTTTTGCTTTTGTAACATGGAGAACGCATTGACATTCCTCACTGGAGCACTTGAGCCCACAGGGCTGTCTAAAGACATGGCTCTGTTGAAAGGTGGGCGGGTAGTCTGCACAGACTGGGGACTCCTCATACCTGTTAAAGAATTAAAAGATGCATACAACTGTACGTTTTACATAGAAAGTACCATTAATGACTTAAATAAGTAAGTCTGATCTATTTATGGGCACATACACTTGGCCTTAAACAAGCCAAGAACAGTTATTTTGCTTATGTTCTCACTACACAAATCCCATTTTGAGTACATAGTTAGGACCTTTTACAGGAAAAGCCAAATGCAGTTCCCTTTGGCCCTAGACATAAAAAGGTTCATTTTAATTTAAGTTCTGTAATGAACTATGTTTCTAACATTTTGAAACACACTAGTATTACAGACTCCTTGATATATGCGAGTAGACTGCCCAGCCTTTGGATAACTCTGACATGGAGACAGAAACAAGTCAAATGGTTCTGTTTGGAACAGGTTGAATCCAGACACAGGGTGCTCCTGAGCACAGTGTACTGCATGCACTAATTAACCAGAAATCACTGTGCTCCACAGCCAATAGTGTCAGTGGCCTTACATGTTCTTGTACCTGTTTTTACATTTTTCATGATCCACGTGTCACCTCCTTAAGTTACCTCAGCAATCTATTGCCCTATATAATCAAGAGATGACCAGTGTTATAAAAGGAAGTGACAAGTGCAATGACGCTGGTCTATTAGCAAGGTTATCTTTCTCTCCTACTCAGCTTCCTACTAAGGAAGGGCATTCCTTTCAATGTTGAGGAGGAGTACTGATTAGAATTTGCAGGCCACGAGATGTTTTTGCATAGAATAAGTGAGAAATCAAAAGCTTGTCACCGATCCCATATTATTTCCCTAGTCATCTGTAAGGAACAAAAATTGTCCATTTTAATTTACAACTCACAAAACATTTTTCCTGATGTCTTGTCTCTGAGAAATCTGTGTTAGACAAATCCAGAAGAAACCATAAAATAAGGAACTGAAGTTAACGTTATTCATTGTGTATACAGTAGGTGAGTGCTGTCAAGACAGCTAATAGTGTACATAATAGTCTATGAAAGCATAATTAGCCATTTTGCATTACATTTGTCCTTGAAGATAATATAGGAGGTAAAGAAAGTATTCTCTAAGGATTTGAGGATGCATTATGTTTACATCAGGTAAGAATAAAAACCTAGTTTTAAAACCAAAGTGATATTAGATGAAACTCCTTACCCAATAGGGCGTTTCCTTGAAATAATGCTTGCTTTGTTCCAAGGTTATTTCCATTTGCAGACATAGCATTATTGTAAAACTCTGAACTACTCAGATCTCCTAGAATTGCATCCAAATTATCCAAGTCTCCACTCATCTGAAAAAGATGCAGTAAAATACCAAGGTTATTTACTGTCATATCGCTATCCTTCAGCTTTCATTTAGCTCCTCGCTAATCTTAAAAGATATAATTGGGAGACAAATGTTTTAGTTCACTGACAGTACCTTGGGCTATCTCTCAATTTCCGAAGAACTTCAGATATCGTTTAGCTACATTTTTTTAGAGTATTTTGCCTGGCTAATTTTGAGGATTAGGAGAAACTGGAAGTACACATAAATAAAACAAAAAGCACCTTTGAATATAAACATTTCAGTCATCACAAAGATAAACACACTAATGAGAGCAAACAACGTCAAGAATGTGTACCATTCAGTGATAAATAATGTGTCATACATGAAATGCCTAATTTGATCACTGGTAAGCACAACAACCCATGAAAAGCATCCACAGATTTTTCTGGTCAATTAGACCCCTAACCTTCTTTAAAAAGGTATCTTTAAATCCGATGCAGTTTTAACAGAAAAAGAATTGCATATATAGTGAATTCATATCTCTGATTATGTTAATTAGATCTCAGGAGCAAGTACTGAAACAACACATTGGGTACTATTACACAGTTTTAGTGACTTTTCTGTAAGTGGTACTCAAAAATATTACAAGGTGTTTCATTTATAGTCTGCCGTTAGCAAATATAAAAATTGTGCAGCAATTTTTTATTTACATAGTTATTACTGACTTGGGAAATCCAAGTTCTAAGACATCAACATGTTTTCAGTAAACTCTGCCATACTGACCAGTATTATTTACTTTGAAGCAGTTCCAAATGTGACTTAGGAACTAAATACAAAAGGAATATTATCTACTGCTGCTTTCAGGAGAGTTGTTTCATGGTGATATAGTTTGCTATATCGTGACATTTCTTGGAATTTCAACTCTAGAAACAGTGAAACAAATAAATATACATATATTTATTTGAATGCTGAATATATATGTATTTGGAACAACATTTTCCCTCATTGAAGGAAAAAAAGAGTGCGAAAACCAATGAATGAAATGAAACCAATCTATAGCTATTTTAAGTATTACACATTTTTGTGTATTGTTTATATTTTCAAAATGACATCATGGTTTACCTTTTGCTATTGTATTGCCAACTTATTACAGAGGCAGTTACAGCTCCACTTCCTAATAAGCCATAAAAATAAACATGTGCTATGTGAAATAGCAGATGTTAAAGATCTGATTTGAAGGAATAATTCGTAAATATATGCAACCTTAATCATACCATACCTTAAAGTTAACATTAGTCCAAGACTTCAGTACAGCACATTTGGTTATATACATATCCTGTAGTTCTCTTTGTTTGTGCTTTTTCAGTTACAATAATACTTGAGCATATAGTTTCACACCATTTGCACAGAGCTTCCTTAGAAATGTTTACACATGCATACTAAAAGGACTGTTCTATATTTAGCCATTCACTGTAATAAGAAATCATTGGTTTGTTCACTACCATCATTTTACATTATACTGTACCTCTTCTGCTGGTTCCGTTTTTATTTTCATCTCTTTTTCTTGACTAGAAGTAGGAATTGTAGAACTACTGCATTGTCCCATTTTACTATCCACACTTTCTACTTTAGGCTTCAGCTCTTTGGACAGCGGGTCCTTAACATCATCTTTATCTAACAGGTATCTTAGTAAAGCATTGTTTTCCTTCTTCTTTGGGCTCAGTTGTTCCTGTTTGACATTGCCTTCTCCACAGGGCGTTGTATTACTAGCATCATGATATGTGTCTTTACCAGTAGCTTCAGCTGTGATCTTGGCTACCTCTGCAGGAGAATTACCATTCTGCAACAATTTATGTAAAATCCTATGCTTCTCTTGCAGGAGTGACCCATGCATGTTTGAGGAAGAAGATACCCCTCCAGATGTTGATGAGGAAACTCCTGAAGGACTGGTAACATTGGTAGAAGATTCTTTACAATTTGAGTCTAAAGGTGAGTTTGATGCTGTAGAATGTCCCCTTTCATCCGAGGAGCACGTGAGTAGCTGAAGCAGTTTTTTATGCCCTTTGCTTTCAGATGGTGCTCTCTGACTTTCAGATGCCTCCAGATTTCCCTCTTTACTATCTTTTTCACTAAGGAGATCCCTGCTGTTTGACTGGCAGATGGAACTTTCCACTTGGTTTTGTTCACAATACAAACCAGAAGGGCTTTTGGAGTCCTGGGTACTTGTTTTACTTTGCTGAGCTATGCTCATGTTTGGGGAATTATCCAATTTTGGACCCGGTGAAGAAAGTGTTGATAAAAGGGAAGTTCCAACACCCTCACTAATGGCTTGAAGAGCACTAAGAGAACTGCTAGAGAAAGTGCTGTTGCTGGTGTTGCTGGCAGATCCCATTGGAGAGTGCATACCTGTATCACATGAGAGAGATCAAACTTATTAGACTACAGTACTTGTCTGTATCTACTTTTCCTTTGGATTATGTGTGACTGCCACATTCAGTTAATTATTTTAAAATAATTTTTTTTCCATGAAATTAGGTATACTACATTTAAGTAACACATACAAGGTCATATAGAACTGTTAAAAAGGATGAAAGATGGAATTCAGATAGAAGTGAGAAAAGATGGCTTAAAAAAAAAACCCAGCTTATAGCAAAAATAAAATACCTGTAACTGGAGAAAACTGGTGTGAACTCATTTTTGGACTCCCTCGATTCCTAGGAGATATCATTAGATTCTGTTGGTTGGAAGTTAAACCAGGACTGCCATGCGGTGGGCTACTTATATTTAACCCATAACTGTTGTTCTGGTAAGTAGAGGACTGCATTCCGGATCCAGAGTTCACTGGTCCCATATTACCAGGGCCTCCATATCGAGTGCTGCTGAGCTGACCCACTGCATTGGGATCTCCCATACCATAGTTCCTGTTCTGCATTGGCATGCCTTGACCAGGTGACATGTTCATAAGACCACCAACAGAATTTGTGTTTCCAGCCACAGGTGTTCTGATGTTTTGCCCAACTGAATTAGGATTTGGCCGATATCCATTTTGTTCTCTGTAAGTTCAACAACAGCCCCAGAAATCCCAAGAAAACAAATTAAAACCTTATTTGGAATTAAGTGCTACAAAAACAGAATAACATTATTAAATAATTTTCCAAATATTTTTTCAAAAAGAGCAGTGAGAATTCAAGCTTCCACAAAAGCAGAACTAAGCCATGCCACTCATCTATTCATTATAGAAGCGGTTGGTCCTTTAGGTGATTTGAGTTATAAGCACATACAGTATCACCCCTTCAAAAGGCTTTCATCAACAGTCATTAGTCAGATTTATCAGTTTAAACATCTTCCTTCTTCTACTCCCTTCCTGAGTCAATGCATGACACCATTCTACTGTGCACACTAATGATGCCCTGAACAATCTCAGCTACTCATTTTTCAGCATCTGCTGGCACTTTAATGCCAGAAGCAGACAGATTCCCTCCAGAGTGGCATTTCAATTATTCTTGCAATCAACAAGAACAGGTCACAGGAAGTGCTATTTAAGGTACATTTAACTTTGAGTCATCAATGATGCATCTGAGGGGGGTTTGTTGTCTTTTTAATTGGTCTGCAATTAAAAAGAGTAAGATACAGCATGTAACTGAGCATTTCTATTTTCAGTGTTTCATCATTATAAATGTTAACCCAAAAGAATAATGAATGCATAATACAAGCTCCATGCAGGTAGTGAGGATAAACCTCTCTTTTGACTGTGATTGTCATTCTGCCACACAGTTAAGTTGGAAGTGTCAGTGTTAGGTTGACACATTTATTTGTATGCTGCGCAACGCTGCTTTCCAAGTAACTACCCCTCTGTTTGAGTTTTAATCAGATAAAATATTTTGGTATACTATTTTTTTCAGCTATCTTCAAGGTCAGATATATTTTTAAAAGCTATGACACTTAAATGACAAACAGATACCACTGATTTCACCTTTGAAGAAAGTGGGTAGAGACAAATCCATGGCGGTCATTAGTTACAGGATTTCGAAATAGTTTACTCTTTGTTTGCGCTGTCACTATAGTACCATCCGCTAAAGAAAACCGATACAATGGTGTTTCAGCATGACCTTGTGTATAGGCTGTGAAGGAAATACACAAATATAGTTCATATTTTAAAACCCAAGAATTATTAATATGCACTCTACAGATTCTTAACACCCTTCATTTGCTGAAGACTTTAAAATAAATAAATAAATGACACAGCCAAGATAGATATTCAGAAAAAGGAAGTATTCCACATTTTCTCCTAAATTAGTAGAGGGAAGATAAAAGCAAACAAGATTATTCTGATGCTGCAGTATTTTGTGCTCACCATGCACAGCTGGCAAAGTTCTACATTTGTTAACAGACTTCCAAGGCTGGGTTAGTAGGTTTCCATGGCTTCTCCTTGGGGAGAACAACTAATCAACACTTAAATATTAATTGCACTAAAATATACAAGTAATTAATATGGAATAGAAATGAAACTTAGAAGCCTTCAGATGAAGTATTTTTAAGTTAAAAAGTTTTATTTCAATCAAAAAAATTGTGGAAACCATTGCTTTTAATCTGAGCTCCAAATTTCTTTTTAATTTAGGATTTATTGAATTAGTTAAGTTGAAGAACTTCCAATGGAATAGAAGCTCAATTTTCTGCCAGTATGAGTGCCTCTCTATTTAATATCCTCTCCACCTGAATTCCTTTGTGAATCCTTCAGAAAGGCTAGAGTTCAGAAAACTTAGAAAATGTCATCTTTCTCACTGAAGACAGTGAATGTACTTCACTTTATCTATCAAGGTTATCAAATTAGCATTACAAAATACATAACACAGGAACACTGAAACTATTTTGAAACCTTGTGTCTTGAATAAGAAAAAGGCATCAACACAACTGTTACCACTTTTCGTGAACTATCCTTTAACAAAAGAAAGGATTAATTAAAATTAAAAGAAAGTCAAACTAATGTTAAACAAAAATAACAAGCTAATGATAATTAAGGATTACATGTTATTACAGAAATATAGCTGTCATTGTCATTGCTATATCCATCTGTGGAAAAACAGCTTACTTCAGGTTCCTAGATCATGTATCTGATATCTTCCATGAAAATTATCAAAACAGACACATTAGAAAAACAAAATAACTTCCATCAGAATTCCTGTTTCTCAAGAAGTCATCCTCCTTCAGCTTGTAAATATGAGTCACAGCAATTAACACTAACAAAAAATATGACAAAAAAAAAAAAAAAAGAACACAGCAGAATTTAGCATTTTTATTTTTCAGAAAAAAAACACAGCCACTAAAAGAAGCAGTATGACCAAACATTGCAAACAGATTTTTACCTTCATGATAGTGGCGTTTGTTTGACCATGACTGTCCATCATTATGGCATAAGAACCTCTGAATACACCGACGAATTATATCTTCAAAGCCAGGTCTCATGGAAGACCGTAATGAGTTTGTATCAATGTTGACAAGTTTGCCTGTAACAGGAAAGAAAATACACAAGTTAAACTCTTTATAACTATGCCAATCCTTTTGTATAAACATGGTATATTTCAGAAGGCTCCTATATTACCATTTTAATTGTTCATCAGCATAACACCAAACTTTGAGTATGCAGGAGTTACATTTATGAATTATCTGCCTTATGAGAATATGATGCTGCTTGTTAAAACATCAATATTCAAAGGGATTTAGATAACTGAATAAGAGGAAGTTAAGTACCCACAGGTTAATGCTAGAGCTTTAGAAAACAGTGACTTTAGTCTCCGGTTACAGGCACCCAAAGGATGCATACACAGTAAAATTTTCAAAAATACCAACCGACTACATCCACAAATGAACATCATAAACACTAATTGGCATCTGAAAAAGCCCCATCTAGTTTATATAAGTATTTCAATTTAAACAGCATAAAACACTTTAAACATTAGCTCACATACTGTATAAAAATACAAGCATTCTAAAGAACTTTCATTAGATTCAGTTATGATTTAAAGTATTTCTTACGTGTAAAGGAAAGCACAATGACAACCATTTGAAATGCTGCCAAGTTAAAACACAAGTAATGCTTTATACCAAGCTGCCAAACAATAGCATACTAGCATAGAGACAGAAAATGCATCCCACAGTTGTTGTTATACCCCATTGCCAACAACTATATATTGCAAAAAACAGTTGGGAATTCTCAGTATGAATTCTGTTAGTCACTACAGGCACACAATTTATTTACATATTTGATTTATTTAAAACAAGAGCACACAGACAAAAAAGATACCTTCATACCTTCATCTTGGGTACATTTCTCACCTGAAAGATCATGTCTTGTAATAAAGCTCTCTGGATTTGTTGGAAATACCCTTTCTGCAGTTGTGATACGGCGTGCCACACAAATCATACAGGACTGCAAATCTGTATTTAAAAAAGAATGTTTCTTCTTTCATTTCTGTCCTGTTCTATTCTATTAAAGCATCTAATAAAATAGCTGAAGTCCCTTTCATTGTTAAAATGGAAGTATAGACAATAAGAATTGAAGATTTTGCATTCTGTTCCAACTTGCTTAAAAATGGATTGCAGAAGCTACAGATTTCATAACATGTACCGAATACCAAAAACCTTAACTCAAGAGATTTCTTTTGTGCACAGTAATTCCACAAAATTTCCTACCTTCCCCCTCTTCCATCATAGCTCTTGGCTGAGATAAAGCAAAGCACTGCATTGTTTCATATCTTTGACGTATATCCTGGTGGCTGCCTACATCTTCCAAAAGATCATGAGAGGTTTTCACCATCATCCGGCAATTGAACGTATGACTCTTCTGTCTAGGTGTTTCACTGGTCCAAGCAACTCCGTTAACTTAAAAGAACACAATAAAAATTTATAAAGATTTTCAGACAGAATCAATTCATAACTTATTTTTCTTAATTTAGATACCTTGTTCCTAGAGAGATTAACGAATATTTTAAGATGCTTTCTCAATATACCATCAGTTTTATACCTTGGTATAAAAGAGTAGCATTGAGAATCAAGTACAAAAACCTCTTTCCCTTACATGACACTTTCAGTCACTTGAAGGAGAGCTGAAAAGTCCTTCACGTATTTAAAGAACGAGCACTTCCCTCAGCTGCTCTTGTGGCATTAGGAAATGTGTTCTTTTAGTATCCTTGTTTTAAGTTACAGGTAAACAAATTGCAAAGGCTAAAGTACAGTGTGAATTTCCAGCACATTTATTTCTGGTGGTATGCTTTAGTAAGAACTCAGTAATATTTTTCAAAATGAACGTATTTTTGGAGTCAAATATTCTTTGTACACATTATTTGTTTTGAAAGGTTATCCATTACAAGTTGTTTTTTTCTTCTCTAACTGTTTTCAAATAGCCTAGTAACAGTGTAGTAAGTCAACTTTAATTACCTGAAGATTTAGGTAAGTTTTTAAGAAAGTCCTTCCTGTCTTCTTCATGCAAGATACCGTAGACACTCGTATTAACCAAATCTTCTTGTTTATATTGCAGATACTGTGTGACATTTTCTGACACAAATACTATGTTCCCATCTCGATTTACAACGAACAGGAAACCGTCCAATGCCTAAATATTAACATGACAGCATAACATATAAGACACACCACCTAATTCTGAACATAATTTAGTTTAAAAACTATGTGGGTGATAAATGTCAAGTTACAATACATGCATTTCTTCTCAAGGGTAGAGATGAAGTTTTAAATTTTTCTCTGAGGAAATTTTTATCTGGTAAGGAACAATTTCAATATTAAAAATTAACCTGTTCATTTGTTATTCTATTGAGCTCTTTCACAGTGATAACCAGCATGTTTCATTCTTGCTTTATTTGAACACAAGATAATGAATTTGTAACATTATTTCAACAGGTGGCAAATTGAAACAAGGAGAAATTCAGTAGAAACAAGTACCAAGTCATGGACATGAAAACATTTCCACCAGCGAGTGACCAGATAAGAGAGAACGGTCTATCTGTATCTTAAAATACTGTATTTTCTTAACTGAAAGAAAATTTCAGTATCTATGTAAAACAATTAAGTTTCAAAAGTACTTTTTAATGGGCTTGTAAATATGGGATTAATTTCTAGGCATAAAGAAAAGGTATCTGTTATGTACCATTTTTTACAATTATCCTTACGTTGTTTTACTTGATGGCAACATTTGTTTAAAATGCTTCAGAATTTAGAAACACAAACCCCAATACACATCAGAGACCTCTAGTCTTTGCAAAACCTCATCCATTTATTTTAAGGCCTATCCCCTAAAAAAAGCAAACTATTCCTTGTATTACTAAGCACTGCTTTAGTAGTAATTTGCTAATGACTGCTGGAGAAAGTAAAGCACAAGAATATGAGAAAAAGCCAAATGCTATCCTTTTCTTTCCTTCTAAAGAGAATTCCGGCAATATTAAGAAAACATGATAGATTTTATTCCTGACCCTTTCAAACATAGATCTGCATAGTTCTTGCATAGTTTTTATTACTATAGGATTGCAGGCTTTATTGTAATATTTTCATCTGCCTTAAATATTTGTTTCCATAGGGATTTACTAGGGCCTAATTTGTACTTGCCTGTAATAAAAGAGGTCCCAATGAATCCTTATCAATAACTCCTTGACCTGTAGAAGATACATCAGCTTTCTGAACATCATCATCATTAGCAACTGCTTTTCCTGAAACCCAAAAGATACACTTCAGTAAAGCAACATTTCACATGAAGACTACATTTTAATATTACAAGCCAGATTCTAGGAAATATGTGAATAAAAGCAAAAAAAAAAAAAAAAAAAGCACGAATGAGAGAGGAGGTCTCATACATTGTTAGTTGCTTAAGAATAGGAAAAAATGTCATGGCTATGTAATGCCAAACTCTTTGCTCACATAAATTGACTCGACAAAATTCACAAGATAAACTTTTTTTGTGAACAATATTTCTTCTGATGCTTTTGGGATCATCTGTCTGATCAATGCTTGCTGAATCTTTCAATGGCCATTAAACACACTCATTATACATATCTCTTCCTTGTGATTTTATTTTTATCATCTCATCATCATTGGTCACAGTCTTCAGATGCCGTCACCATTGTTCTACAAAAATGCTTTCGCTCATGTTAATATATGCGTGTGTCTATGTATACGTATGCGTGTGTGTATATAATAAAATCACATTTTAAGAATCAAAATATCCTAAATAAATTGATTGCAGGGAAAGGTGCAATCCCCACCAGGCAGCAGAATTACAGAAAACAAACAGTAAGCTTTGTTCTGTGGTACTTGCTAGCTGGCTAAGCAGACCACAAGAGGAGTACAACATCCTACGGGAAGATTCTCACATACTCAACTCTATAATGAAACAGAATTATTACATTAGAATACACTAGAATACACTAGAAAAACCTTAAAAACAGAAGTTAAAATTAATTTTTAGAATTGTTTTAACATGTTTTCAAAAGATGTGCCAATTTACCATGACAGGTAAAATATACAACATAGCGCACTTGATTTTTTTAATACTTTACTGCCCAAAGGAAATATGTACCATTGGCAGGCTATAGTCATTGGGGGTGGGGTGGTGTTAAAAAAAAAAAATATATATATATATACACCCCTCACTATACATTTCAAAAACAGGTTTTGCATATACCTCACCATTAAAAAAAATATATTATTATACCACTTAGGTTTACCCTAGCTGACAAAAATTACCAAGATTTGATGCATTGCTATTTTCTCCTTTGTTGACTCGACTATATCCTGAGTACAGCCAACTGCACTATTTAATTATTTGATCTCAAGCTAAATGTATTTTAAATATACTGGAATCACATACTTAACCATTTAGGAAGCATGTCTTAAACAGCACAAGAAAACAAAGGGAAGTCCATAAAAACATAAGAGGAAAAAATAAAAATCAATATATCTGATTGGAGGTGTGCCCCATAAGAAACCAGGTATTTTTTAAGAAATTCATTTCAAAGCATTAAACTCCCTTTAAGCATGAAGTCCCTTGAAGTGAAAGACAACAGTATGTATTCTTCATACCAAAGGGTATTTGGTGTATTGTACCAGCAGATGGTACAATAACCATCTGCCTTTAGCTTGTCTGCGGACTAGCTTAAGCTTTCCTAGTATTTTCAGGAAACTGATAAGAAAGGCCATACAAAGTTTTAAAGCCCTGATTCCCAATAAAAAGTAATGGTAAATCCTTGTTTACTTTTAAACAGAAAATTATTTAAGGCATATTAAAGGTTTGGTTCAAGACAAAGTTTGAAGACTTTCTCAGTTACATGCTACTGTGAAAAACACTACTCAATTTCCCAAGTAACTACTGCTTTGGAAAAGGAATCACAAGGAAAAATTAAATTATTTATTTTGGCTTAGCAGGGAACTGTACCTTGCTCTTTTATCTGTCGAATCTGTCTCACGGTTTCTTTTAAAATAGCACATTTGTCTGGTTTGACATTGAAATTGTCAATGTCACTCAGATTAGCAGATATCAACTCAGCCAGTTCTTCAATGTATTTGCTTTCCTGCTCTCGCCGACGCTTCTCACCACTGCAGGTCAGACTAGGAACCAAAAACATAATTTCATATACTTACATACCATCATATACAAAAGCTGTGCTCAATCTGTGAACTTTAATGTACTTCATGTAATACCTACCTATTAAACCTAAGTAGTAGTTATTCTTCCAGCAAACATAAATCTGAAGGGGGATGTGTGTGTGTTTTGTTACATTGTTGTTTGGTTTGGTTTTTTGTCGTTTTCTTTAAGAATTTTAAGTACAAGTTTATCTTAAGAGGATATGAGAAAGCTATTCATCAAAAAAATCCTCCTGTGATTAATGTCAAATTTCATGAAAATAGCAATTGCCTGTTATAAAATTGTAACACTCCTACAGAAAGTATATTTTAACATTATAAGTTACTTCAGATTTGTTTATAATTTATTAGACAAATAAAATAGAATTTTATCATTCTATGAAATCCCTTTGGTTTGCTTGTAACAAGATGACTACAGGAGGGGGATACCTCAGAAATTTCTAGGCATCAGGACAAAAATGCCACCTCAACATCCAAGAAAAGCAGAATCCCAGACAACCTATTGTTGCTGGATGAAGTCTCTCTCTGAAATTCCTTTTCCTACATAGATTAATGTGCTGAGTAAAGACACTATCTACAGCCTAAATCAACAGAGGGAACACTGTCATACACAGAGTATGCCAAGAGTAGGAAAAGGACGACTTGGGAGAAAGGAAAGGGACAAGAATGAGCACACCGAGGGAATCAAAAGAGAATGAATATTCTTTGAGAAGAAATCAAGCAAAAGAGTTAGGAGAGTATGCATGGACCAATATTGGAGAAAACATAAATTACAAAGCAGGGGCTTGAAAGATAAAGAAAGCTAACGAAGGGTGACAAAATGAAAAACAGAATTCTTGAATAGACAGACAGACAGACACTAGAGAAAGGGAAAGAGAAATTGAAATGGAGGACACTCACAAAGAGACACTGGGATACGGTGGGAGAATGTGAGGATCTCAAACACAATGTGTTGCATGATGGAAGTAATTAGCATGGGACAGTGGGGATGTACATAAAAGGGAGAAATATGAGCACACATGACGCCTGCTATTTTGGTGAAACTGAATACAAATTTAATAAAGGTTAATACTCTGTGGGAACAAGAACATGAAAGGATAACACAGAACACTTAGCATGTGGTCGAAAGCAATGAGGCTGGAGGGGTACAGAAAACCGAGTCCCTTAGATAACGATCTCTGACAGAGTTGAGTGAGGGGCAGGAAGACAGCATAGAATGCCAAAATTTGAGATGAACTTGTAAACTAGTCTGGAGAAACGGAAGTCAACAAAAAAAATGCTCAACCTATTGCAGTATTCAGTGCTGACCATGACCACCTGAAATGAAGCCTGTCAAATCAATTACCAGATAGAAGATGCTGCCTTTGAAATTTCTGTGAAGCAAGAAGTTTTTCTTCTTTTGCCTTGCAATCACAGCTTCAAACAGTGATACATTATATGTTCACTCTATTAAGATTTCTGCAAGAGTCTAATTATAGTGCATAGTTCATCAGCTTTGGCGTATCTACACATAATAGTAAAGTCATGTATCTTCACAACAGAAGCTGGCCTAGAGTATTTTTCAACTGAACAAAATGATTAGTTAGAACTTACTCAAAATTGCAATGAAAACTTGAAAAATATTTTTAAAAACCTTATTAAAAAAAAAAAGGGGGAAAGGTCTATATAAACCTACCTTGCACCTGGTGTATCACAGGGCAATGGCTTGCGTTTCCTTGACTCATTGGTCAAGCTATCCAAGGAGTTTTCTCCTAATCCACTCATCTTGACCATGCATCAGCAACTAAAAGCAATAAAATAAGAATTGTGAATGAACCTCTCAAAATAATAATTCAAAACACAGAGGATTTATACAGAAAAGTTCTTTATTTTTTACCAGATTTAGATTTATGAGTATATTTACTGGAAATCCATATACCTTTTTACCAGTAAAAACATAATATTTGGTTACCATTTTTTTAAAAATCAATTTTTTATTTTGCCAAAACAGAGGTTTACAAAGCTTTATATCAAGGTAAGCAAATATAAATGTAAAAAATGCATTTATTTTGATTCAGATATGTTTAAAAATTTGCACCATAGTACTGGGGCCACTGTATAGCCAATTTGTCTGAAAATAAAAAGATTCTCATTGTATGTTGTTTTAACGTATGTTTAGATAACGTGAAAAGAAAGTGGCAAATTAACATGTTATGCCAAAATGTAGTTAAATACTAAGGATAAAGTTAGATACCATTAAAGAAAAAGGCAAGCGATACTCTGACGCACTGAAGAACAGGTGATCAGAACACTGAAAATACAGAAATGTTGAATAAAATTTCCTTTTCTGTATGCTCCTTTCTTCTCTTCATGTAATCTAACCAATGCAGCCACAAATAATTGTCATCCTTAGGAGTAAATCAGTGGGCTTAAATGAGAGTTTCACACCTGGCTTGGTATAAAGCCAACAGATTACTATTACCATCTCTAAATCAGCAGGTTACTATAGTCTTAACTTCATGTCTCTTGCTAAACCTGCTAAAATGAATAGTTTTCTAAAACTTTGAGGACAAGGCAAGCAAAGACTTCAGAACTCTTTCAACTCTATTGCTTCTGCTGCAAAGATTGGGCCATAACTCAATAAAAGAATATGTTGCTTTTGTTGAAGTCTAGTTACATTAATCAAGCCTGGCACCTTATATATCCATGACACTCATCTCCCCTCATTCCCAAGAGGAAAAAGGAAAACAGTCACAGAGGAGAGAAGACACCTATACCAGATCCTGCTATGCTATAATAAATCACATGCTGAGGGAGGAAAAAAACTTTTAAATGGATCTATGCTATCTACCTAGCCAGAGTATTTTAGAACATAATTAGAACTATAAAATAATCTAATAATTTGTATTTGGGTTTTTGTACCACAATGACAACAAGACACAACTGGGCAGTTAGAAGTTTAGCATTATTTTATCCTTTTTACAGAAATTTCTAAATTAAATGTGAATTTAACTTACTGCAATCTAGTTCAGGCTGCAGCTCTTTACTCCATATAGCAAGAGCAGTAACTGGTCTTAAACATTTATTTAGGTAAGAAAGTTATACTTGTTAGTTGGAGAGAAACTTTCCATAACATATAACCCAGGCACTAATAAAACTTTCAGGAAAAAAAGTTCTTTGAGGATCTCCACAAGCAAAACCCACCATTACTACAGTTATTAAAAAACTGGCTTAGGATGACCAAATCTCTAGGAGTCAGTGATCACATATCACAAGGACAAGGAACTGATAGACATGCTTTCATCTAAATGAAGTTTATGTTAAGGTATCAGGGGCTGGTAGCCAACTGATTTGAAGCATCTCTGCAGAACAGGATCTGGCACCCTTGTGAACAAGAAATTAGTTAAACACAAACCAGCAGTGCACGCTTGCAGCAAAGAAAACCAACCCGTTAGAAAGGCACCTAGTCAACTAACTGCTTCTAGGACAAGATATCTAAAGAAAAAAGCGTGTGTATTATTTCTGATGTACTAACCTTGACTGATTGGATTTTTTGCTTACTGGCTTTTTGTAGGAAAAAAACCCCACTACTACTTTAGTTCTTTCTAAAGTCTAAACTGAAAGGGCAAAGACACACAAGAACATATTTGCATGCAGCAGTATGGGGGTTGCTTGCAATAGCTGATACTGTTGTTGCAGGATATTAGCTATGGGTGGAGAATTTAAAAGGACATTCTTACAGCAGTACAAACCTTTGAAACCTAGACAGGACAGGACTGCTGGCTGCACTGAGAAGCAGACACTGGATTACTCTGGCACGTGTACAAAGCTCAGAAGTAAAATGGCATCTCTTTAAAGCACAAGTTCTCTTTGCAATTAAGCAAATGTTACAATGCTTAAAGTTGTGTTCATAACCAATCCTCATCCCAACTGATAGGCATCAGGAGAGGAAAGAGAATATACTTTGTACTTCACAATAAAATTAAAAATAACAGTAAAACATAATCTTGCATTTGAAATAAACAATTACAAAAAATGCTTAACTGTAACTATGGTCATGGACTGCACATATAAGAAGTTGGTTTTACATCTAAATATTCGATATAAAACTGAGATGAATAAGACAAAGCCCAATATACAGAAAGATGGAAGAGCAAGCCTGAAGACTTTTATTCAATCTATATTCCTCCAGGGCAAAAACCTCTCAAATACATTTATAGTGGCCCACCTTATGTGAAGTTCAAGAAAAATATACTGTTACACCACGAGATGACAGTATAGCACTGAACAACCGCAGAGATAATATTTTCTTCAATTAAGCAGCTGAATGAAAAACTACTCATCTGAACAAGTAAGTAGTTTCAAAAACAGATTCTAGAAACAGGCTATGATCATGCAAAAAGCAGTTGATTATCTGAAGCTGATGCTCAGTAGAACATTTGACTCATAAGGTCTTATGCCTACAGACCTCACAGCTAAGGCTGAATCCTGAGAGTCATTCTGTAGGTGACACACGCACACACTCCAGGATTGGAGCTTCCCTCCCCGTAACTGCATTCACAGGCAGAGTATAGAGCTGCAGGGTTAAGAGCTACTGCGGAAAGAGAAAGGAAGAGCCTAAAATATAAGACTTAAGGATAGCTCAGGAAGGGTGTGGGCACAGCAAGTATGTCAGAAGCCAAGAGTAAATTCTATTTAAGAGGAGGAAAGATTTAAAATACATTAAATAGTTGAAAATACGAGCTAGGACAGACATTTCACCAGAACGTAATTTTGCAGGTAACAGGGTTGCATTGAATGAATTAGAATGAAAATGACACTTCTGGTTTAACATCTACCTGTACTGACAACTCACAATATGATTAAATACAAAAACAAAAATTATTACATGATTACAGCATTTGAAACATGATACATATCAGAGAATACAACCCTTCTTCTATTTCAAAAAACGTTTCAGTGCCTAAATATAGCAGCTTGGAGAATGAAGGAAAAATTAGGTAATTCATGTAGGCTGTTTCCCTACTATTACACCCAAGTAGCTTGTGGTAGTTTATTCAGGCCTGAAGCTGCAGAGTTCCTGCACATGTATTTTCCTTTCCCTAAGAGTATCATTACAAGCTGAGAAGGCATGTAATGCCTAGAACAACTCTGTAACTGCTTAGCTAAGCAAATTACAGAAGCTGCTTCCCAATACAGATGGATTTACAGTACAAATTGTTAAGTCAAACTAATTTCCCTGCTATAGGAATTATTCACAAAAGAAGCTATTACTCAGTGAGTTAATAATGAAAGAAATCACCACTTAAAAAGTACCAGGTGTTATATTTATTCACTGAATATGAACCTATAATTTCTAAGGAGCTAAAAAGTTTTCCCAAAAAGAAATACATTTTGAGGATTTTAGGGAATCTTCTTGAAGTTAATCATTATTTCAAAAGACAACTCCAAAACACAGCATTCAAAAGTTAAAACTTTTATGCATTTTTACTACTAAAAGCTAAAATGTTTAACACAGCCATCTTTGTAAACTTACTCTCAGAGCTAACAGGCAATAGCATTATTTCTGGCTCCTGATCCTATAATGCTGGCTAGAAAGACTCCTCTGCTAGTTACACTGCACAATATTACCTACCTAAGTGAAGCATTTTTTAAAGAAAAGAATTACACAGTGAACTTCTTTCTATTATTTGTGTAATTAAAATAAATCTAAAAGCTAGCTTAATTTGACTCGATGAATAGCTCAGTTACTATATAAAACCAGGCAAATATAAGAAACTATGTTAAATTTTAGATAAGTATAAATTACCCAAACCACAGGAATGATAATCTTTTGTCACAGAATATTACTTTTACTCAGAATAATGGAAATACAGATATGACAGCAATCTCTTCCATGAAAAATCTGACAATTGTTCTGCTATTTTTCTTCAAAGTTGCTTGCATGTATAAGCTCAAAAAGTAGATGGCAAACCTACTGCATAGAAGGATAACTAACAGGGGGACTGTATTATGAACTTGACCTATCGATACATACTATAATGCACTTTTTAATGAAATGTGTATGCAAGTATTTGCTTAAAATGCAAGAAGCTACAGCAGATTGACTTGCATATAAGGATGAAGAAATGCTGAGTATAACTTCTACCCAGTGATAAATAACTATATTTTTCTAAAATTTATCTGTTCCTAGTTTATATAATTTATAGAGAAAATTTCTTGTGACTGCCAAATTTTAAAGCCAGGTACTTAATGAATGATAATTCCTATGTATATAATAATATTTAAATGTTTTCTAGTCTGATGTCATCAGCACCAGCAGCTAATTTTAATTTCTAAATTAAACTGCCCATGTTACTCCACTGTATTGGAATACTTTGTCATTTTCATCAAACATTTTATAAAATAAAAGCATTTTATGCTATGCTCCATTTAGCTGTTGAAAACAGATGACAAAAAGCCACCTTTATTCTGTCCAATATGATTTTCCAAAAGTTATTTGGAAAAACAAAGCCCTAGCTCTTGCCAAATAATTTAGAAAGGTATACATTTGTATGAAATAGGGAATGGAAGTAAATATGTCCAGAGCCCTCCAAAGTTTATAGTTAAAGCAAATTTGAGAAAAACCAGGATGATGTAAGAGATGGTTCAAAGTCTTCAAAGCAAGACATTGTTTAATTCCATCGGTTGTAGCAGTACCAAACCACTATACACTGACGTTCCTAACACCACCAGTGGAGTGGAACCAGAGGCAGCAATACTTGAAGAAAAAGTTCCAAACTTTCATGATGATTTGCAAATACTAAATACTAGTTTCTGCATTACTATTGATTTAACTTTTCAGATAATTTCCTAAATTTTCCAAAATTTTTCTCACTTATCAAAAAGGGGAAGCAAGAAAACAAAAAATAACAAAGACCTTTTTGTTCATCAGTGAGTGCATTGAAAAAACTTTTGTCCTTATTAATAAGGTACATATGTCTACATCCTTTGCAATGTACTATACACTTTTCACATGTCAGGTTGATTCATTTCTCAGTGAAAACCACAGATGGATTGTTAAAAAGGTACTGATTTTTTGCATGTGACAGGTAAAACAAGTTCTAGTAATTATTAATCCATCCATTGCAACAATATATGTACAGCCTTCCAAACAAAAACATAAAATTTAAATAAATCATCAGCATTTAGGACTAGCATTTTTCAACCTGCCAGGGTTTCAATATTTTGACAGGCTAAAAAAAAAAAATATTATCTTCTAAAATTCTGTCCTGGACTACCAAGAAAAGGATACATATGTCAACAATACAGTATGTTTGAAATCGGGAAAGTTCCTAAAGCCATTTCCTAGAGAGCATTCAAGTCAAAAGGACATCGAGAACTACTAAGCACAGTAAGCAGAAAGTTTTCAGCTTGATACGATAGTTTCTTCCCTGCACTTACTCATCTCACCCTCACACAAATTGGAAAACTACTAACTTAACAACATTTATTAGATTGCTTTCTGCTAGTTTGTCTTTCAATGCACGGGCTTCCTTCTCCAGCTCAGGCATTATTCCCTCATGTCCATGTTCTCAGTAGCTGTAGATGAAAGACCTATTCACCAAATAGGACACAGCAACTGGGAAGGTTTTGTCCTAACAGGGGCCCTAAAATATAAACAATTAGATGCTTCAGATTTAGTTTTTGTATTTGTTTAGCTGAAATAGTTGGCCACACACACACAAAAAACCAAAACCCACAAAGCACAACTATACAATACTAATTTAAAACATATCCAAACTAATTTAAAAAATCATAGTATTTGCATAAAAACATTTTTAACTCTTCTTTGGTCCATGAAACCATCAACTTTTTCCTATTCAAAATATATGTACTCATGATATCTTGCAAGCTTGGAAGCTTTTCTGTCTGAGTTGATTTCTTGTTTGAAAAATTCACTTGGGAAAAAGTATAAATTGGCTTTTAGCATTCCCCAGAATAATCCAATTAAGAAGAACTAAATCAAACCAGTCCTTTTCAATGAATCATGAAGATGGTCTGCAATTTTTTAAATTGTATATAATGTTAAAATATTAAATATAATCCTCCTTTCTAAAAACCAAGACATAAGTCACACAGTTTTTAAGATGCAAATTGTAATAAACTGATTTATGCTAAGCAAAGCCCCAAATATTTAAATCTTATTTGTTATAAATAAAACTAGAGGACATTCCATTCAGCAGCTCCGTATTCTTAGTGAAAATTTGTAATTTCAAACGTATATTTCCCTCAAATACATATATATAAAAAGTATGATAGCTTTCCAGTGAAACTTCTGGTTCAAAATATTCTTGAAACTATGCAAACATTCTTTTGTTATAAGACTGACCACAGAAACAACTGATACTCCTATTTACATAGATAAGAATTCACAAGAAACCAAACAGGAAAACTCATTTTGTGGCAGTAGTGAAGTAAGGGTTTTTTCTTCTTCTTTCTCTCCTCCCCCCGCTTTTCTTCTTTTTAAGAACATGCTTCTTATATATTTACATGAACAATTTGTAAATTGTAGCTTTAAAAATGATAAGGCAGTTAACTATTCAGGTACATATAGTCCCAATATGAAATCAGTCACTTACTTGTACTTAGCAAACATTCAAGCACAGCATATTTTTCAGAGGACCTTCAGTCAGAATCAGAAGTCATTTTAAGTCACATCCTGAAAAACAAAAAAGGCTGTAATTTAAATAAAATAAGTGCTTGCTTTTCGATTTTTTCATCTAATATTAATAATCTTACCAAAAAAGTAAACACTCAATATTGAAATATTTTAATGTTAAATGAGTTTAAAACTCACTTATAATAACTGTAACTAACTGCCATCTCTGCTATATGCTAAACAGCTCAAAAGTCTGAATCTTAACATCACAAATGCCACCCAGTAAGCTAGACTTCCTTTCACATAAGAACTAAACATATTTGTTTTAAATGTTTGGGGGTTGTTTACTTTGGAAGAAATAATGAAACTGTTGTAGATGTTTGATCTTGGTAACTTTTAAACCTTAATATAAAAAGCTGCAGCCCCAATTTAATTATTTTGTAAAATTATGACTGGCAAGTAAAAATTAAGTGTGTAGCCACTCTACGTCAGCCTGTACACACTGCTTGGTACATAACTATTAAATGAGAATAGCAAACTGTTTTCAGAGCTATGAACACTCAGGTTTCTGTTACTCTGTTTTTCTATGAAATTCTAGGAATGATTAAATCCATATATTCATGCATTTTGTACAAGGTATGATTAAGTGTACTAATTAGCGAGATTCTGGGCCTCTACAGAGAATTACAGTAACTTAGGAAAAGTTTTAAACAACAGCTGTGTGATTGAATTGATTTACTGAAAACTGCTTAAAGCGCTACGTAAAGCAGAGGCTGTTCAAGCTAATTAGAAAAATAAATTGCTCTTGGGAAATATTTATGAGACATTCACATGTAAGCGCACACCATAGTCCTATCCAAAATCAAGAGTTTCAAAATTGATACTTCTACCCAGACTACTTAATAGGTAATCACTAGCAGGCAGGTAAAGGAGTTTTATTCAAGTAGCTCATTTCTTAAGAAATTAAACTGAAGCTTTTCATATCAACTGGTTGCATGTGCATTCATCTGCTGTTTTAACCATCCCTTTGACAATACTGATTGTAGCTTTATTTATATGAACTGGAATTACCAATTAGAAGGTTGATTGACAATGTGGTCACGTAAGAGTAAGCATCACAAGTAAATTGTCTCCTAATTAAAGACTTCTATAACACCATTTTATGCTAAATCAACCTCTGCTAATCATGGAAACCAGAATAAAACCACAAAAAAAAAAAAAAAGAAGAAAAATCTAAGAAATCTTAAGATGCAGTATCAGAAACATTTGGACATCATGGAAAATTAAATCCTTCAGTTGTTCATTTCTGTAAAAATGCTAGACCTGACGTATACTACACACAGTGATAGCTTGCTATCTAGCTTCCCTGGGATGGTCTTATACCCAACAAGGGCTATTTTCTGATGTCTCCACTGGACAGAATTTATGAAACAAAAAGGTAGCATAAATTACATTCACTGTTCAGTTCGATGTGCAGGGGTTTTTTCCTTAAATTTCTACAACAGCTTGATATACACCTGTGCAAGAACAGAAGCAGTTCAACAGAATCACAAACAAGAGTCTCACTGAGAAGCTGACCTATGCAGGAGAAATGAACAGCACAAAATCACTTGAAGGTGGAAGATTCAATACCCACAAGTATCAAAAGGATTCTGTATGACTGGCAGTGCAAGGGAGAAGAGAAGAACCCTGAAAATGAGGTTGAAGACCACACAAAAATCTTAACATTATGTAAATTAGTTTTAGAATATTCCTTCTATATTCCTCTCAAGTAAATATTCATTTCATGGATGTCAATATCTGAGCTGTTTAAACAGAAGACGGAATACAACTTCTCAAAGAAGTACTGCAGTAAAGTAAGTAAAAAAATAACCTTCTGAATAATCTGAAGGCTCTTGAAGGGTTAGAAAAGCATCTAGAGTAGCATTTGCACTAATTTGGTCTGGCCAAACACTGCAGAGGACCATCCTGTGAGAACAGTCAACTGGCAGGGCAACCTAGACAGATATTCTAAATGCTGTTCTACTAAGCAGGATGAAATTAACACAGCCTGAAGTAAGGGTGAAAACCCTACCCAGTAAACCAAACAAAAAGTTAACACCAAATATGCTACAGTAACATTTTGCCATATTTCAAAAGTAAATTAGACCTCAAGTCACTGTCACTATAAATAAAACAGGACATTAAAATTCTATAATCGAATAAGTCATTACATTGTTATCATCTACGACACTTACATGAAAAAATAAAATATGTCCCTCTTTTTCAATAATACTTGGTCTTTTCCTGCTAATGAGAGCCCGAACTTTTAACTATTGAAAGTTAACCATTCAACTCTGTATCCCTACTCTGCACCTACATGTTTCCTCTTCTGAGTACAGAGATAATGGCCAACTTCTTAACTTTTTAAATACAAAAATGTATTTTATTTCAACATTGGTTTCTGTTCTGCTTCACATTAATTAGTTTAGGTTATTAGAGTGCCTGTATCAAAGCACACTTGTGCACTACACAATTGCCAGTCTGAGAGACAGTATTGTTCTAAAAAGCCTGGCATTTGGGGCTGTGCAGTCAGCTTCTCCACCAGCTCTCACCACACCAGTACCACTTTCAACACGTGAGCATAATATTTCCTGTCTAAAAACTGCTCAACCAAAAAACAAGAGTGCTCACACAAAAACATCATTCGGCATCTTTTGATCTCAATGAGCTCAACATAGTGACCTTCAACTGATTTCCCCACTTTCAGGATGAGCTACAGAGATACTCAGTTTACAGCATAAAAAACCTGGGCATCCAGCATAGCCTGGCTACCAATTTAAGTGTACATACAGTCCAGTTTTGGATCCAATTTTTAAAACACATAAAAGAAAAAAGATTACATTAGCATTTGGATGGGATAGCTAAGTGACAAGCTATATTGTTGCCTGTGGCACAGACAACAACAATAAGACAGAGAGCTAAAGCTACACTGTTTTTAAGGTTAAAAATATACATATATATTCACGGTCAAATGTGCCAGATATGGTAAACACAGTGGTCACTTTTTGAAAAAAGACATTAAAAAGGATTGTATCTGTAATCCTCCTTAAATGTTTTAGAGATAAATAATGTGCCCGTTTAAAAAAAAAAATTAAATACAATACACTACACTTCAAACTGCAGTGCATAAACCCAACATTTTTAAAGCTCTGGGGGAGGGGAAAAACGCAGCAGATAAAATTGCCACGGAACCTTAACTACAGCTTTGTGAATCTGAAAGTACAATGTAACAAACTACTGAAACAGATAATGAGACTCAAGTACACCGAGCTAATAAAGAGGTTTTGGTATACTGTAACTATTCTTTACTAAAAAGAGTAGGTTTTAGTACTACTAAAAAGTCTTATATTTTAACATTAAAGCAGCTATACTTACGTTATGAAGCTAAACAGCAAATTATATTGTAAATTGTATTGATACATCATTATCCTAATCTAGCACTTCCATCAGTGCAGTAACTAATAAAATACTATTCCAAAACATACGCATTTGATCATTCTCCACTCTTTCCTTTTTTCCCCCACCCCCTCAGCCAAAAAGATCATTTAATAGATAATAAATGACTTGGAGACTTCACTGAATCAGGGCTGTCAGTTAAAAAAAAAAAAAAAAAAAAAAGTTGCCATCTATAATCTGGTAGCCAGTGAAGCACACCTTGTTGCAACATGTTAAATAATCTTAACTCAGCACACATCCTTTTTATATTATACATTCCGTCTTAGGGAGACTATAATTTTTCAGGCCTTGTCAGGTTTCATTTACCAATTCCCCTGCAATGTTTAGTAAGCACTATGCACTCCTCAGCTATTTTTCAGACATGACAATTAACTTGAGCCTTGTTCACTTTGCATGTATTAAAATGACAGGACGCTTTCAGTTAAAGGATGGTCAAAAGTGGAACACTGAGCGTGTCTCCTGTTCCTCTGATAAATAATGCGTGCTCTATTTTTGGAATGTCATTACTTGTTAATTTGTTTCCTATACATCCCTGTTTGCTAGTCACAGCAATAGATATAGGACCCTGTTACAACAAACAAAATGTATGAAAGAGAAACTCACTGTTATAAAATAGACTAGTCTTTATCCTTATGCCTTTATCCTTCACCATACACTGCCGAACACTTGTAAAGATTTCTCACCTGTCAACTTTTGCACAAAGCACTGTAGTAAAGTGGTTACTGCACCTCATCACAGGTCCAAAGACATGTGAGCCACATCACAGGCTCAGAACAACTGCTGCCCTCATAACCCAGATGTGAAAAGGTACTGAACTTATTTGGCTAGATGTGTTTGTCAGGATATAGCTCTTGTAAGTAAAAGACAATTGGGCATGATGCAGCCACACCACCTAGTTGCATGACACTGCTAACAGGAATTGGTATGCTCAACACAGCAGGGCAAAAAATATTGGAGGTGGCCTTTAATCTTGACTAATTTTCGAGCCACTGTACTGGAAGAGGTAATCCGGGCTTTCAATACAGCTGATGGCACCAGTTTGAATGTTTTTATAATGTTTTTAAGATAGGTAAGCCCTTACAGACTTGTATCTGGAAGAGTTGGTAAACAGTCATTAAAAAAAAAATTCAAAATTTAATAAATATATAGAGAAAGAGAAAGAAAAAATCCCTAGCTCAAATACCACAAAGAAAGGAACAGGATGTGATGTCTGGGCTACTATAATGGGACTTGGTAACTACTTACCTGGTAAGAAACCACAGAACATCACCATTCTTTTCTATACATCCAGACACTTTAACAGCAGAAGAAACTCAGGCAAGTCAGTAGCTGGCTGAAATACACATGGTCTGCTTAGGTTTTATATTAATATTTAATGAAGATCTAAAAGTGGAAAACACTTCTTCCCATCATCCTTGTCAAAAACAGTGGGTACTATGGAAAGAGATTTTACTGTGACCAGTGTACAAACCTCTCTACTATTACTAACAGCAATAAAATTCTAAAAAAATAGGAAATTTATATTAAAAGTGTTCCATTTACAAGATAAAATACCCTTGACAGAGCTCACAACAGAATACCAACATAACAGTATTGCAGAATTACTTTCCAGCTCTATATACACGTAATTCATAAGTGACTCCATGCCATTTGACACATGACATAATCCGCAGGTTAGTAAGAAGAATGCAAGCTGTATCAATGCATCTCTACATATTGCAATGTCAGTTTAATTAGGAATTAAATTTGAAAAAATTCACATAATTTCTTAAAATTGAATTACATAATCCTAAATTATTTCAAGATTAGTCCAAAGTACAAAATCTCTCTAAATTAGAAAAGGACATCAACTGAGAGCCTTAGAAGATGAAACTATCAGTTTGACCATATAAATCTGAAAACATTATTTATTTATTTTTAATCACTTCTACTTTTTATGTTTTGTTTTTAAGTGGATATATTAACTTACCTGATGAAAGCTTATTTTTATGCCTTATCAATATATGACTTCAATTCTTACACAACTTTGACTACTACACATTACAACAATGTGACTACCTTTTCATTACAAACTTAATCACTGCCACTATAAAGAAAAAGTCCAATGCAAAGGCACGGTTGCCAGAAACTAAGCAACGATCATATCAAAAGCAAATACAAAACGCTATCTACTAGTAGATATTAGATGGGATTCATGGCACAATTTACATAATTGGAAGAACTGTATTTTATAGAAACAAAATCACACATAAAGATGGGTGGGTTTTGGTGGGGTTTTTTTAGCAGAATACAGTAGCTCCTGTAAGATAACAGTGTGACAGAGACTTTTTCCTCTGTGATCTGATAAACATACAAAAGCTTTTACCCTAATTTAACAATGACTAAGGAATTAGTTCTCCCTTAAAAGGGAGGAAGCAACTTCCCAAACATAGTTACAATATAGTAAGAATTCAATCTGCAAGTTTTCAGTAGCAACAACTATCATTTTCTTTGAGGTAGCTATACACTGACACTTCAAAAGCAGAGAGTACTTACTAAGTTCTTGGTGAAAACAGGAAATGTAATCAACTAAACTGAGTTTGTTTCACTTAATACACGTGATCCCTCTCCAAGGCATCAACAAGTTCATTTCCCTTACTGAAGCTCTAAATGTACCATCAACAAGTCCATTCTCCTTCCTGAGACTCTGAATGGGTTCACATACATTTTTATGTATTATATGTATGCAATTTTTTTGTTCTGCCACTCTAACCTGCCAGTGTCTCATGGAAGCAAAGACTACTTGCTGGATTTCTAGAGACAACTTAAACACAACTATAGTATTACAATTAGCATTAACTCATTTAGTGCTATGGCATTGTTATAATTGAAGCACACCCTACCACGCCAAAATCTAACTCATTTTACATAGATCACAGTTTTATATAAAACACATTTAGAATGAGAACAGCTCAAAATCAGAGTTTTCCAAAGCAGCAGTTAAAAATTGGGCAAAATATCAGCAATTTCCTTGTAAAAGCCTGTCCATTGCAAGCTTAAATTTAAAGACAGAAGTCATTTTACATTTGGATCAAAATCTCTAACAATACCAAAATGCCTTCAGACAAGGGGAAAAACTGACTGGTTTTGACAGAATGAAACATTTACTATACACACTGAGTTCCTGACATGTGGTCTCTACCAAGTAGATGCCAGCTTTTGAGATTCTACAATACTCAGAAAAGCATTCAAAACAGATTAATTTGTTGGATTTTCTAGAGCTATTACTAGCAATGAATGTTCATCCCCAGTATTTCCAATTTAGTCTTTGAATCTTGTATGTGAATTGAAAGTATTCATCAATTCAGTAGGTATGGAGATTGGCTTTTAAGAAAAGTGCTCATGTGAAGCAGTAAATGCTTTCAAGTGTCAAGTTGCAGAGCAACAATATTTTTTAATTGGAATTGCACAGCTGAAAAAAAACATTGTAACTATTCTTTTTATATTTGCATATTTAAAAAGCAAGCTTCTCAATTAAAAAACAAATCTCTCAATTAAAAGCTATAACCGATCTAGAATTTTTGCAACGCTCTAATCATAGTTTTGTTTGCCCGGTTCTACTTTGGGCAACTGTTCATCTTGGGAGATCAGATGTGATCTAGTTGATGCTTGTGTCTTAAACGACACTGTCATTAATCATCCCACCATATATTTAGCCTATCAGCCTGTTCACTTCATCTGCCATTTCCTAGCACTTGAATAATCACAAATTATTAAGAAGCGCAAAAGTTTATCAACAGCTGGAAACCGCAAACACTTGAAAAGAACAGTCCTGGTACTTCTGAATATTTCTACATGGCTCGGTCATATTTTGCCTTTGTGGAAGTACTGGGGAATGGTAAAATAGAATTGTTTCTGTACTTGTACAGAGTCTCCTGGCAGATACTGCAAAATCCTAACAAAGCTAACCTTTTGTTGTATGGATGCTACAAAAAAGACCATTTTCAGTCAGACTGACCAAGTAAGGCAAGTTGTTACACTCAACATAAAGACCTCTGAAGCAAAAATGCTTGAACATTAAATACATCACATCAACTTCAAAATTTACTGCAGTGTCCTGGCTATCAATAGAAAGAGCCTCTTTGATTCTGACTACTAAAAAGCAAGTTTTTCACTTTTATGAACACCACAAAATTAGGTCTACAAAGTATGCAATCCCGTGCTGCAGTTTCAAGAATCTTTTATGTTAGTGTCTAGACAACAATTTTTTGTTCTGCATTTATAAAAACACAATTTGTTACACAATTAACAAATTAGTTTCTGATATTGACCTTGGAAAAACTCCAATCTCTCAAGAGTTCCATTGCACAAATAGCAAGAAAACAACACAACATAATGCTTAATGAAATATTTTGGTTCCAGTTTTTATGATGCTTCAAAGACAGATTTTGGTATTAGTAGCAGAGTTACACACAAATAAATTAATAGAGAGAAATAAGCCTTGCCAGTGGTGCTCTGGGTCCACAGCAGATGAGCTGGAATACAAGCTACCCAAAACATGCTCACAGTAATTTCTGTCCCTCTTCTTAAATACTCAAAGCCAGTTCTACAAAATATACCATCCTACACTACCAAGCCTCTAGTACTAGACAGAAGCATTGATTACCCTCTTAAAACAGCATGTCATAAATTGTGTGGCCATTGTGCCATGGATTTGCAGCCAGCTAAAATACACAACATTTTCAAGGGCACAAATATTTGAGGGACTAGTATTGTTATTACAAAACAACAAAGACAAACAACGAGAAGCAGCTTAAATAACTTAGCTAACATGTTTAGATTTAATCACAGCATCCTGTAAACAACTAGAAGTGATGCCGTATCTGTGGATTTTTTACCTTTTGAGTGCTCTTCACTTAAAAAAATAGGACTAGACAACAGGCAAAACTCAGCCTACAGAAGCGATGAAGACTGTGACCTGCTAATATACTTTAAACAGAATGTTAGTTTTAACTGGAAAATAAAGTAGCCAACCATAAAAGGAAGCTGGTACAAGACAGTTGAGATGTAATGCAAAGCACAAATTAGTTTCCTGTTTCTGTAAATGCTTGCTTTTCCTACACACAAATAGCGTATCTGAGCACGTAAAAAAAGAATTTGTTTGCTTGCAGAAAAATCATTCTTAACGAATAGAAGATCACTGCTATTGCCTGACCAACTCAACCATCTGCATATCTGTGCAACTGGTATGGTCCAGCAGCAAATACAAATTGCCTACCATGACACCTCAGTGTAGAGAGCCATGACTCATAACACACGTGGGGTTCCAGGTACTTCAAAAAAAGCTACATCATGCTTAGAGCTAAATCCTAAATTCACTGTCCTGACAGACAGGAACCCTGGTACTGAGGGTAGCTAATCTCAAAATAGAACAAAAATACCTATATTCGTTTTGAAATGAAAATACATAAAAAGAAAAGTATTCATTTAAGATTAGTCATTCCTAATACTCCTAGTTGTCTTAACAGTACAGCTGAACACACCTGATTTTAATCTCTAGAAAAAAAAGCATAAATACAGCTTTAAAACTTTTCCAGTTGCACACTCGTATTTCACACTAAAACTGCACGCTCCCTTGGTGATATTTTTAAGTCAGCGATCTCTGAGATGACAAAATAGTATTTGCTGGAGGAAACCAATTTTGCCATATTTTGCCATAAATTTCCAGTATATACAAATACACAGTCAGCTAAATCTTCCTCTCACTCAAGTAGAATAATTTAAAGATTATTTGTGACCCAAATTTCTTTTTGTATAGCCTATGCCAATTTGCCTGAGAAAGGAATCAAAGGAGTAGTGGTCATTAGAGCTGCAAGAGAGAAAAGAACCCCGAAGAGTGTACACATCTGTGACATCTCAATATGAATGGAGACAATAGACGCCTTATACAGCTATAATGGAGGGTGTGGGGGAGGAAGGCTACCAAGCCTTTTTTGTTTGTAACATGAAGATGTGAATAATTCTGTAAGATGCAGTTAGGAAGCATTATGTGCCATAACTAAACTAGTCTATTTCTTGCTGGATTTCTTAACTGAATTCAGTTTTTAGAAGAATCAAGCAGAAGTCACGAAACAGACTCAAACAGAGAAACAGGAAAAGAAAACACAAGTCTTTGCAGGAGAAGAAGAAAAAGTAACTAGCTAGGTATGATGGACACGTTTTATAAAAGTGATCAAACAAAAGGGCAAATCCATGGAACAAATAAAGCCTAGCATTTCTATGGACCTCAAGAAATATTATTGCCTGTCCATCACAGAAAGTAGATCAGAACCTTAGAGAAATACTGAAAGCAGA